AGGTCCTGTAATGTTTCCAATGTTTAGGTTTTATTGGTCTTGTTCTGTACTGTTTTGTTCAATTTTATTATACCTAATTATACAGGCAATTCTTTTTAAGGTAGCAAGAGACATTATGGTAACCATTGTTGATAACCTTGTATTCTGTTTTTGCATCATGTGCTATGTCTATCCTTTGTTTTGACTGACTGCTTTGTTTTGTTAAATTTGGTTTTATTCTCTTCCAAAAAAAGTAATAAGAACTAAGGGAGTAATAAAACCCAAAATGTGTAAATTTTGTTGTAAAAAAGAGAGGAAAAGAAAGTGCTCTAAAGGATACAACTGCAAGTGTGTTTAGGTATGTAAAGTAGATGACCATGTTACTGAATTTTTGTTGGATCACTGAACACAACTGTTTGCAGTCTCCCTGTTTGAATGTCCATTGGTATGTTTTAATCCTGTAACTTGAACAACTATTTTTAAGATGACAATATGTAATCTATGAACTAGTGATTTCTTACCATTTTTTTTGTAATTCTATATTACTTGTACCCTTATACTGTTTTGTGGTTTTTTTTCCCTTTAAATAAAAAAAGCTGAAAAAAAAAAAAAAAAAAAGAATGCCGCTTTCTACGTGACTTGCTTCTCCATTTGTCCCCAATTTAATCAGTTTTACCCGAACTATTAATCTTATTGGCTAACCATTGCTCTGTCCCACCTTATGCCTGTCTGCCTTGTGGGTTCCCAGTTTTCCCCGCCTTGAACCCACCTCACCCCATGATTTTGCTCTATAAAAGTCCTTAGAAAAGACAGAGTCCTTAGCAACCCACTCGGGACCCCTTCTGTGTCTCTCAGACAGAAGCTTTCTTTCTTTCAATAAATACATTCCGCTCTTAACCTCTGTTGTTCCTAAAATTCATTCTTCGATTTTAGAGAACACGAACTCCTACCAGACATGGTAGGTTGGGAGTTTCATCCCCTGTATCACTATCATCCCAGCATTTGGGAGGCTGAGGCAGGAGAATTGCAAATCCCGCTCCAGGTTAGACAGTTTAGCCAATTAGTAAAGCCCTGTCTCAAAATAAAAAACAGAAAAGAGTTGGGGGATGTGCAATGGCTCAGAGTTCAAGCCTCAGTGCAAAAAAAGTCATCACAAATGCCTTCAAAGTAGATTTTTTTCTTGGAATGCAAATATTTAGTTTCTCTTATCTTTTAAACAGGGGAGAAAGTGCTTACCTTCCAGTTCATTCCCCAATACTGCAGACAGCTCTACAGAACACTGGAATGGGAAGGTGTGTGGGTTAGAGGTAACAAGATGCTCCCTGAAAGGTGTTTAACTGCCTGAGGCAAGAGAGGCAATCCACATCCTTTGAGAGCTGACCTGCTGGCTCCCAGGTTTGGCAGGGAAGAAAAATCTGTTTCAGAAGTGCAGGCCTTTGGTCCTGCCCCTTTTCTGAAAGTCTTACTAACAAATCTGAAATCTCCCAGTTCAGCCAGGTGGGGTGGCGCATGCCTTTAATCCTTTAAGCACTCTGGGAAGCTGAGGCAGGAGAATCCCAAGTCTTAGTTGTCCAGTCCGGACAACTGAGCAAGACCTTCTCTCAAAATTAAAACTAGACCGTGGCTGAGGATGTTGCTTACCGCAAAGGTCCTGTGTTCAGCCCCCAGTACCATACACAAATGAATAAATACATACACAAATTCTTCCATTCCACAGAAACCCTCTGTCTGCTATTTTCCCGCCAGACACTGTTAGTTTTTTATTAGCTCCCACCTGGAAGGTCAGGCCCCTTCCACTGAGGCTGGTTTGGTGGAGGCGCAGTGTCTGCAGATGCGGTGCGAGCCCAGGATAGAAGATCGGCTTCCTGAATCCATCCTGGGCCGCGGAGAAGCTGGACGCCCGTGAGTGACACACTGAACCCCTCCAAGCCTCAGCACCCCATCTGCAAAGCGGGAGACTGTCATGGCGCAGAATGAGGCAAGAACAGGCTCGTGTAGTGCAGGTGGGTGGAAGACCTTGCAGCATCAGGGCCATTGCTACCACTGCGTCATCTGTGGGGACACCAGAGGCAGGCCTGGCTCCTGGCGTGTAAGGCCTGGTCCCCCAAGCGCAGCAGCTGTGAAGTAAGATACAGGAACGCTGGCTGTGTCATCCACAGAGGGGACCCCACCCCGCCTGGGACTCACAAACTGCAGGACTGACCGGCAGGCCAACAGGGGAAACAGAAAGGGAGGGACAGACAGCGTTAGAAGACATACTGGACAGGGATGGAGCAGGAGTTGAAATGGAGAAGAAAGAGGGAACCTGTAAAGGGCTGGGCAGGTGATGCTCCCAGCACTCGGGAGGCTGAGGCAGGAGAATCACTACGGGTCCCAGGCCAGCCTGCGCTCCATAGTAAGCTCAAGGCCAACCTGAACTACATAGTGAGACTGTCTCAACAACAACAAAAGTCTGTAGAAGAAACCTCAAATTCTGTATTCGTGGGCTAGGAAAGCTTTTAACATCCTGGATTTTTGGAAGTCAGATCTTATGCTTTTTCCGGGGGGTGGGTATCCTCCCAGCATGAATCACAAGACAGGATCGAGAAAATGTATTTCACGGCTTATTTTAACATGAACAATAACAGAGAGACTGTTGTACACAGTAACCGAGGACGGGTGTGCAAAAGGCATTTCACGGGAAGCAACAGTCCCGAGACAGTCACACAGGGCAGCACTTCACCACAAAGCTGCCCTGGCTGGGCACTGGCACTTCAGAAGTCTTTGCTGTGTCTAAAACAATTTAATATCAAGTGCACAGCGATGGGCATCCATGATCCCAGCACCCAGGAGGCTGAGGCAGGATGGTCCCGGTAATTTTGAGGCCAGCCTGGGCTACATGGTGACACTCTGTCTCAAAACAATAAATAAAAATAAAACAGTTTGATAAGCTCTGTGCACCAAGCTTCTTTGCTGTAATCCACTCTGATGACGGGGACTGGCTGGCACCCACATGGAAGGGCCACCTCAAAGGAAGGGGACTGGTGATGTCACACAGTGTAAGGGAGGCCTCGGGAGGCCTCAGTGTTTCTACCTCCTCCTGTGACAGAGGGACAACGGAGTCCTACACAAGAGCAAGTTAGCTGGTCTCCTGCTGAGACTAGGATCACCCAAAACCAGGGGTGGTGGTGCACACTTGTCATCCCAGCACTCAGAAGGCTGAGGCAGGAGGAGCCACACAAATTCCAGGCCAGCCTGGACTACCTAGTGAGTCCTAGGGTCCCACAGAGCAAGACCCTGTCTCAAAAACACCAACAACAAAAACAGAATCATCCAAATGAGGGTGGAACCTGCCATCTGTGTGTGACTTCCACCCGGATGTTCAACGCACACTCCCACGTGGGCAGGACCACAGCCAGGGCTGTGGTATGACAGGCGGCCACGGCACCCCATGCCTGCAATTCGAGGCTCAAAAGCTTCAGGGGCCACCAGGGTTCTCAGCGAGCAGCGCCTGCCTCTTCTGGGCTCGTTCCTACGCAGAGCAGAGCCCTTGTCCCCCCTGAGCCACCTGTGCCACCCTCTGGTGCTCCAGGAGGCTGCGACCTTCAGCCTAACCCTACCTGCCTGCCTCGGCCTGCAACTCTCAAAGAATGGGCGTCCCTGGAACCTCTCGGGAACCGTTTTCCTGACGCTGTGTTTAAGGTTCACCTACGGCTCTCTCGTGCGCATACAGAGTACAGAAGTTTCTGGTGTGGCTTTAGGCACAACCCCAGCCGCCAGTCCTCCCGCCAGCCCCACAACTTCCCCAGGGCGAGTGGACCAGAGATGAGAACCCGGGTGTCTAATGTGCAGGCAGATCTGAAAAAATGTAAGAAGGACTCACACTTCGCTAACTCTCTCTTATTTAGAAAATGTAGTTTTTATCCAAATAGTTTATCAGAGGTTATAGATTATTTTTAAATGAATTAACACATAGTTTTTAAATTTTCTGTTTAAATTTCTTTTTTTGTTTTGTTTTGCTTTGTATGGTTGTTTTGTTTTGTTTTGTTTTTGAGACTAGGCCTCGGTAGGTAGCTCAGACTGGCCTTAAACTCACGGTGCTGCTCCTGCCTCAGCCTCCCAAGGTCTGGGATTATAGGCGTCCCCACCACACCCGGCTTCCATTTAAATTTCTGACCCCATAAATCTTGATAGACACTACACAATACACACTGTTATGCTATACACACCAACGGAGGCCCTTTGGCATCCTAAATTATTTTTGTTTGCTTCTTGCAGTTTGAACCCAACGAGGGCCACACCCTGAGCCACATCCCCAACCCCTCGCGGATCCTGATGGACAGGGCGGTCCTGAGCTGGACACCCGGGTGCCTCTGCGCATGTGCCGAGCGTACTGGGCCTGCAAACCTGGGCGCTGACCCGAGGATGCCCTGCAGTGCACCCTGCCGAGGTCACCCCAGTTCTGGGCAGCACTGAGACACCCATTTCACCAATTTAACTGGCTCAAGTCGTTGCAGAGACTCTGCTTTGAATTAACACATAAAAGATAAACATTTTTAAAATTCAGAAAATTCAAACCAAAAAATTAACCTGAGAAACAAGACTACAGTTAAAATTTCTGAGATACAGGAAGAAGCCAGGGAACTTATGAAACACCCCGTGCCCAGGAATGCCACAAATACAGCCAAAACGACCCACCACCGACAGGGAACTGGGGCCTGGTGACATTCTCAGCATGCCACTCGGGAGGCTAAGGCAGGAGGATCCACAAAGGCAAGGCCAGCCTGGGCTACACAGTGACTCCCTGGCTCAAAACATAAGTAATTGGGCTGGGGATTTAGCTCACCGGCATAAACGCCTGCCTTGCAAGCAGGCAGTCGTGAGTTCGATCCCTGGTACTGATAAAAACGAAAAAGACAAAAAAAAAAAAGAGAAACTAAAACATAAGTAATTTTATTTTGAAAACTTAGCTACACCAACCACACTCTCAGCTAGGGCTGCACTCACAGCCACCGAGCCCTCCCAGCCCCAGCTTCACTCACCCAGGAGGGCCGTCTGCGCGTGGATCCGCGAGGCTCTGCCCCGGGCTGCGGGCCTGGCGTGTGGGCGCTGTCTGGCCGCAGCGGGGTGCACGAGCATCTGTCCCAGGAGCAGCAGCAGCAAGCAGCCCGCCAGCATGTTGCCCATTTTCAGGAGGAGGGCCGAGGCTGTGACACACAATGGAGAGGCCATGAGCTTCCCGCTCCCTGGACGCAGCTCCCACAGTCCCCAACCCTGCTGCCCCGTTCTCTTTGAGGCCATGACAGCAGAGCAGGCCCAGGGAACTTTCTTGTCACCTTGCCCACTGTAAGATAAGACTGACAGAAGCTAGGGTGGCGGCACACTGCTGTCGTCCCAGCACTCAGGAGGCTGAAGCAGGAAGATCGCTGCCATTTCGAGGCCAGCCCACACTACATAGTGAAACCTTGTCTCAATAAACAAAAACAGCCCGGCGTGCTGGTGCACACCTGCAATCCCAGGACTCGGAGGCTGAGGCAAGAGGATTGCTGCAAATTCAAAAGAAAAAAAAAAAAATGAATGGAAAGCTGGAGGGAGAATATCTTGAAGCTTTTTACCAATTAAATATATTATCGATGAGTCATGGCTCTATAAAAAAGAAAAAACCACATCTGAGGCTGTCCAATAGCAATATTCCTGCAGGCTATTAATAGCAGATACACAGCGTAACGTATGTTCTTGTCTCTAGAGAGCCCAGGGAGCTGCCCCAGGAGCACTGTGGCTGCACCTACGCTGACAGCGGGGCTGGGGGTCCCTGGCAGGCGTCCTAAGGGCCCTGCAGCCTCTCAGTCTGCCCTCTCCCCATGTCCTGGCTTTGCAGGCAGCACCCACTGGGCCCCGGGGTCTGTGTCTGCGGGCCACAGCACAGGCAGGGACAGGCAGGGCGGGGCGAGCAATGGAACCGGGGACCCTCGAGCGAAGTGAGTGCTCTGGGCTGACTGGGGATGAACCCCGCCTGCAAAGCCACTCTGCACCTCTCTCTCCCGCTCCACACTGAAGCTATGCGAAAGCTAGCGAATGTTTACTCAGGCCCCCTCTGCCAGGCGTGGGGCCAAAGCTTTAAAAGTACAAAATGATTTAACTGAATTCTTCAGTCGTGAATATGCCCAAGGTCGCATGACTCACGAAGGGGAGGGTCCAGAACCCCCTCACGGATTACACAGAACCACGTCCCCTCCTTTCTTTCAGCTTTTTGAGAGAGTCTCGCTGTGCTGTTCAGGCTGGCCTTGAGGGCCACCATGTAGCCCAGGCTGGCCTCGAACTCGTGGCGATCCTCCTGCCTCGGCCTCTGCGTACTGCGATTACAGGCATGCACCACCAAGCCCTGCTCCGCCCCTGGTTTTAAGCCATTCTCACTCCACTCAGTGAGCTGGTCCCTTTCCATAGCTTTAACAACGTGGAGATTCCTTTGGGAAAAAGAAAGAAAACAGACTCTTTCCTCTTCCTCTACTATTAAACTTATTATTTACTTTCAAGCTGTCGCAATACAAGTGGACTCTCAAGTTATGACCAGTGTGACATATAACTTGGGTCATGACCAGAATTTGAGTTTTAACTTTCGACCAAAGCCTTGAGTTTTGACCCGAATGCTGACCACTTATGCTTGCAGATGGTCTCAGATACAGCTCTGACCCTCACACAGCTCTGGAAGGCACAATGCGGCCCCCTTTCCTATGTGGGGTTAACTGAGACTCCCCGGGTCAGGGTCTCTCTAAGAACACGGAGATCAGTTGTGTACAGGACCCTGAAGGCTGCACAGAATAGCTGGAGCCGTCAGTTAACAAACTGAGTCACCAGCAGCCCTCGGGAGCGAAGCCCTGAGTCCGCAGGTCAGGGTCCGCTGATTCCCCACCCGGTATGATCGGACTCTAAGTGTGCGGTGTTGGGTTGTTTCAATGCGGTTCCCCCTCTGCAAACAGAACACCCCGTTTACTTAGTGCAAACTTGAGCAGTGTGCTCAGGGCCACTTCCCTCCGGCCCGACTGCCCCGGCCCTGAGCGCTCACGCTGCTGTGGGGTCCCCGTCCCCGCTGGGGAAACAAGCACGGCTGCGTGGTGCTGTGTTTGCTGTGGGTCTCAGGCGACTTCAAGTCACCCCCGCTAACCAGAAGACACTGAGCATGGGGGGAGCACGGGGAGCTAAAAAGAAAACCAAACCCTACTTCCAGCTGTCGAGCTTTTTCCTCGGTTTCCTCATCTTTAAACTGGGGGTGGTGGCAGGCCTGGCTGTTTCACAGATTTGATCAGTTTCTACGTGCAAACCCACAGCCTGGCACACAGCAGCTGCTGAGTAAGTGTTTGCTATCATTATGATTACCCTCTGCATGCAAACCAATTAATAGAAAGTATATACTGTCACTTTTTCACAACCAGACCTTTTTTTTTTTGGTACTAGGACTCGAACGCAAGACCCTGTGCTTGCCAAGAAGGCACTTAAGCCACTGAACCATATCCTTGGCCCCATAACAAGGCATTTTATGTGCTACATTAAATCAACTCTTACACTTAAAACTATTATAACAAAATAATAATATAAAACTTCATAAATTCTAACTATACATGAACACCTGAAAGTATTTGAAATGCTCTTTTTTTCAAAAGGCAGTGCAGGGCCAGGGATTTAGCTCAGCTGCACAGCACCTGCCTGGTAAGCACAAGGTCAAGAGTCCGATCCCTGGGGGAAAAAAGGCATGCATAACAAGCCACAACTGGTAGAAAATATTTGCAAAACATAGCTGATGAATTATTTGCTTCCAAGTTAGGTCAAACTGAATAAGAAAAAGACTAGCAACTCGCTGAAAAATGTGCAAAATATTTGAAATTTCATCATTAAAGATATATGAAAAGATGTTCAGTACCCTTAAATCATTAAACAAACACAAATTAAACCCCTAATGTGTAGCATAGTAAATCCACTAGAATACCAAACATCAAAAAGACTCATAAAAACAAGTGTTGGTCACAACATAAAATAAACTGGAACTATGTTGCTGTCCAGTGGAGAGAACTCTTCAGAAATGAACAGGGCAGATCCCCCGCAAAGCTGGTTCTCTGATGCTTAAGAAACTAAACTCTGGAAACAACTCAGCGTCTAAGAACTGACAGACAAACGTACTGGGGTGCTTCCTCTCAGTAGAATCCTGCTCAGCAGTGAAAAGTGTGATCCCTGGGTGAACCTTGATTACACTGAACAAACACAACCAAGCACAGAAGCAAAAGCTACCACCGAAAGCGGACCAGCGGGAGCTAAAGGTACAAAAGCAGACCACCTGTGGACGGCCCTGGGATGGAAATCACAATTATGCTGGAGCCAGCTTGTGCAAACCCATCAAAGGTGTGCTTAAAACTGAATTTTATTATATATAAATGAGACTTCAAAAACGCTGTTAAAGGAATGGGGAAACATATTATAGAGATACATAAAACCAGTATGGTAATATTAATCTCAGACAAGATGGTCTTTTAAAATTTAAGACAGGATCTCACTATGTGGTTCAGGTTGGTCTCTCAGAGATCCTCCTGCCTCAGCCTTCTGAGTCCTGACACTACACTACCATACCTGACCAAAACGGTTTTTTGTTGGTTTTGTTTTTAAAATACAATGGAAGTGAAACAAGAAAAAAATAAGCCAGTGCCCGCGTCCAGGTCAGCAGTTCTTTCTTGGTTTGGCATTCACAGCTGTCAACCTTTCGAAGATCTAACCGGAAACGGCGTGGCATTTAAGAACCCCTTTCACAGAGGGGAATCTGGACAGGTCTGTGCTCGGAAACAGAGGTTAATTCAGTCTGCGCTGAGGCCACACACAGTGGGGGTGTGGAAAGCATACTTTAAAATAATGTGAAGGCTTTGACTTTTGTGTGTTTGCTTCTCCTTGAACAATGAGGCTTTCTTCCGGCTTAGCTAAGAGACTGGGGAAGCCGGGAGCCGTGTGAGCTCTGGGCATCACTGCAAGCGGGTGCCCTCCAGAGCCAACGCCGCATGCTGTGCGCAGCCGCAGCCGTAGGCAGGAGGCGCCCCCTTGCAGCGCATTCTCAGCCTAAGGAAGCCTGCAGAGAAGGGCGCACACTCGGAGCACGTGCACCCGTGCTCCGGGCAGCGCACCGCACAACCTGCAGGTGAATGAGAGCCCCATCTACAGACAGAACCATAATATGAATACGTGAAAACACTCTCCAGGGCCTCAGCTAGTTCTCCAGAAAACGAAGACTGTTCTGGGCGCCTCGCAGGCAACAGCCTACTTATTCAAAATGAAAGTGGGGAGCTTGGCTTAGTGTGCATGGCTGTAATCTAAGCACACTGGGAGGCTGAGACAGGAAGATCACAAGTTCAAGCCTAGTTTGGGCAGTTCAGGGCATTAGCAAGATCCTGCTTCCAGAAAAGGCTAAACGGGATTTACCTCAGTGGTGTAAGCACCTGCCTGGCAAGTGCGAAGTCATAAGTTCGATCCCTGGTACCAAAAAGAAAAAAAAAAAAAAAAAAAAAAAAAAGACAAGACAAAAGCCACAAAAATTGAAAAAAATTGTCAAGAGAAATTTTTTAAATTTTTTAAAAAAGAAAAGGCTAGGGCTGGGGATTTAGCTGAGCGGCATAAGCACCTGCTTTACAAGCAGGCAGTCGTGAGTTCGATCCCTGGTACCGGTAAAAACGAAAAAGACAAAAAAAAAAAAAAAAAGAAAAGGCTAAGAAACTTCTGGGCATGGTGGCACATGCTTAGAATCCCAGCACTTGGGAGGCTGAGGCAGGAGAATCACCACAAGTTCAAGGCCAATCTGGGTTACAAAGTGAGTTCAAGGGTAACCTAAACTGCATAGTGAACCCGTCTCAGAAAAAAAACTGAAGGGGCTAGGGATGTAGCTCTCCCGAGAAGGCCCAGGGCTCAGTCTCCATGGGAGGAGGGGACATTAGTTTCCACAGTCTCTGGGCTTTTGTTTTGTTTTGTGGTACTGTGGGTTGAACCCAGGACTCTCACACTAAACTATATCCCCTCATCCCCTACCCTTTTAAAAATTTATTTTAATAGATATTGTAAAATAGGAAAAAAAATGTTCAAACGAGGAGGGGAACAAGGGAAAAGAGAAGGGGAAAGAAGGGGAAAAGAAATAAGAGGGGGAAAAAACCCCATGGAAACAAAGCTTCTGTAAAGGGAGCAGAGAGGAGGGTTTGAAAGGAGGGGGAGGAGCAAACAAGTTATATCACGTACAGGGACAAATTCTCTATGCTGAGTGTGATTGTTATGTGTATCCAAAATGTACCAATAAAATCAGATTGAAAATAAGCCCCAAAATTATGTTTTATTTTGAGACTGGGCCTCACTAAGTCACAAGGTTGCCCAAACAGGGTTCAAGCTTGCAATCCTCCTGCCTCAGCCTCCCGCGTGCTGGAATCACAGGCGTGTGCCACCACTCCTAGTCTGTAAACTTTCAGACCTCGGGATATATAGCTTTGCCCTTGGCTGTCCCAAGCCACGGGCGCCTCCAACTCCTCCGCGGGTCGCAGGATGGCCCAGTCCTGGAGCCGCCCAATCCCTGAGGTGGTTTCCCGGCTCTTACCTATGGCTGGTGCGCCACCTTCCGTGGGGCGGACGATTGGGAAGCCAAGCTCCTTGTGGGCTCTCAGCCACCGCGGCATCTGGGTCCCCAGGACGCCGACCTGCCCAGGAGCCTGGAACCCCACCCGCAGGCGAAGCCCGCCCACCCCCCATGCCTGCCCAGCCGTGAGCTCTTCTTCCTACTTCAGAGCCCTTCACTCACCCACCATACGGTGATACAACCGGACGCGGGCTTTGACGCTGTCCGGCCTACTGCCCACACGCAGCCTCTTCCTGGCCCCCCTCCACGCGCCCTCTCTGTGCGGATCCCCCCCTGGGCCGGGGAGTCCGTGTGGAATCCTTGCCTGTCCCACTGACCCGGCCACACCAGGCTGAGGACCACCACCTCCCAACACAGCAGCGCATGCGTCCCTAGAGTCTGAGGAACTCTGATTAACCATGCAGCCACCTCGGTCCCTGTAGCGCTCGGGGCCTGCGCCAACCACGCCACACGCAGCAGGACAGTGGTCCTCAGCGCACCGGTCACTGCTGGATCAGCTCTTGCTCCGTACAGTTCCAGACATGCAACCCGGACTGGCCCTGGCTCTGCAAAACTCGACTCCGGGTCCTCCCCTGTGTCGGGTGGAGGCCTCGACCGAATTACAATTCCTGATGGGAAGTCCCCACACACAAGCACTTGGCCAACCGGAATAAAGAATGTTCCAAGAATCTGAAGTAGCCAGTATCAACTAAGGTGTCAGTTTAGTCACCAGTGCATATTTTAAGCATTTTAAATTGTAAAATATTCATTCTGAAGGCCAGGTGTGGTGGCTCACACCTGTAATCCCAGCATGCAGGAGGATCACAGATTTGAGCCCAGCTTGGGCAATTTTGCAACTTAAGGAGACCTTACCTTAAAATTAAAAATAACAAAATGTCTGTGGGGGAAGCTCAGGGCAAAGGGCCTGGATTCAATCCCCAGTATGTTAAAAGAATAAAAATTAAAATTAAAAAAGTTATTTAGATCTCAAGGGGAGGGGTTTACCAGGAATTGAACTCAGAACCTTGGGCTTGCCAAGCAGGAGCTGTACCACCTATTTACAATGCCAGCCCCTAAAAAAATACCTAAAACAAAGGCTTCTTTCTTGTTTGATAAAACCATGCTCTGTGATGCTTTCCTTGTCTAATAGATGCCTTTGGAGCCTCCTATCATCTTCACTTTAAAAGTGTCTGAAATACAGCACCTTTTGAATCTGTGTATGTTGCTTTATTCCAGACCACCAGGCCCCATTTACACAACAGGATAGTTGGATAGTTTATATATACTAGAGCACAAATTCACAATCTTTTTAAATGACATTTATTTGTTTTATTTTGTTTTGGTTTATTGCGAGAACTCACTCTGTAGCCCAGGATGGTCTTGAACTCACTGTGATCCTCCTGCCTTGGCCTCAGCCAGGTGCTGGGATTATAGGCAAGCACCACCACACCAGGCTAAAACGACCTAAAGTCACTTGTGACAATGAAGCTGCTCTCAAGACTAACTGTTAAATGTGAGATGAAATTTCTGCCAACCCTGCTCATTTGATTTGTACCAACGCCCAACACTACCTGACCGAGGTCACTGCTGGCTTTTGGCATGTTCTTCAACAGCGCCACACAGCGCCCTGAGCTTCAGGCAGCTTTGCAAGGACTCAGAGGTAGGAACTCCCTCTCTTCCACCCTGGGATACGAGGCCGCCCCCAGAGCCCTGCCCTCTTGTCCTGGCTCAGGGTTTTGTGCATCCCCACATTGTCCCAGTCCTAGACGTGGCCCTTGCTCCTCTCACAGACCACAGAGGCCTCAGCGGAGATTGCCAGTTGCCCCCAAAATTTACCTTGCCCTAATCCTCCTCCTCCCTGTGTCCTGGGATTGAGCCCACCACCTCTGCACTGAGCTACATCCCAGCGCTTTCTAAAATTTAGTATTCCAGACTGGTTGGAACGTGCGATCCCCCTGTCTCAGCCTCCCAGGGTGCTGGGATTTCAGGTATGCACCCTTCCTTTTTGGTAGAACACCCACTTTCTGACTGGACCAGTGATGTGCTGCACAAGGATCACAGCTCCTAGCGCCCTCTCTCTCCTCCCAGAGGACTGAGTGCTGCTGACGCAGACAGGGTGACAGGGCAAGTACACCTTCTGAGAGAGCACATTAGAGCAGCAGGGGCACAGCCTTCCTACCCGGCCCTTCCTGACTCCAGCAATGAAGACCCCCTCGCAGGAGACCAGCATTCGTCCTGAAGCATGGGGGCCATGCCGGGTGCAGAGGTGCACCCCAATAATCCTAGCACTCAGGAGGCTAAGGCAGGAGGATCTCTGCAAGTTCCAGGTCGGCCTGGGCTCCATAGTGAGTTCAAGGCCAGCCTGAACTACATAGCGAGATGCTGTCTCAAAAAAAAAAAGAAAAACAAAGAGAAATGGAAGCCGTGCCCAGCAAAAGCAATAAGATACTGGGCTGGGACTCTGTGTGCTGGACACCTGCCTCCCCAACAGAAATAAACTTCCTTCTTGAAACCACTCTTACTTTGGTTTGTTCAACAAGTTGCAACTAAACCCATCCCTAATTAATCAACTGTTTCCAACTCTCTCCTGTTGAACCATCTGGCGACAGTGCTAAATTCCATGCTGCAGACACAGTACAGTACCTGGCTCAGCACGCTCCTGCCAGTGACTTCCACCGACCAACAGGATCAACCAGAACAGAAAAGAAATAGGAAAACCACGGCTACAGACCTTAGAACAGTGGGCACCTCTGAGTGTACCAGTGATTCCTTCGGGGTCAGGGAGGGACTTTCAGGGTGTGGAGCTAGGAGGGAGAGAAATGACTGTTCACTTTGTAAAACTCCCCGAGCTGTCTCTTTACCGGTTTTGCATCTTTTTCTGAGCCTTTGATGAAGAATGTATTTGGGGCTGGGGATATAGCTCAGCAGCATAAGTACCTGCCTTGCAAGCAGGCAGTCGTGAGTTCGATCCCCGGTAGCCCCAATAGCGATTTAAAAAAAAAAAAGAATGTACTTAATAAATACCTTGCCTGGGACCAAGGCAAGAGGATGAAAGCTGAGGCAGGGACATTCTTTCCCTCCCCTCCTGCCCCCACTAGTGAGGATTAAACGCAGCCTTCACGCTGAGCCACATCCCGAGCCCTTTTCTATTTTTTATTTTGACACAGGATCTTGCTACTAAATCACTAAGTTGCCCAGGTTGGGCTCAAACTTACGATCCTCCTGCCTCAGCCTAGCGAGGTCTTCCTTTGCACCCGTGCAGCTGCTGGCCACCTGGAACTGCCTCTTGGGCAGGAAGAACAGCTTGTCTCCCTCCAGAGGTGGCCACATCCTCACATCTGTGACTGAGAGGCCACACATAAGAGCACTAGGGCTGCTGATCGAAGAGCGGTGCTAAGATCTCCTTAGCAACAGAAGGATGGTCCATCACCACAGGTGACTCCAGCCTGGCGACGCCTCGATTCCAGCCCCCCTGGATTCTAGCCGCGGAAGTCACAGCAGTGAATTCACTACTCACACCAACGCCTGGCTTTTTCTGGAAAGATGGGGAATGGAGCTCACCACCCAACCTCAGGATGCTCCTAGATCTGTTCTTAAAACTTGTTACTGGGAATGGTGCACGCGCCAGTAATCAGAGCACTCTGCTAGGCTGACACAGGAGGATCCCAAGTTCTAGCCCAGGCCATGCTACTTGGCAAGACCTGGCTCAATGTAGCTCCGTGTAAAGGTGTAAAGGCTCGATTGCCAAAATCGGCAAGAAGAAGAAGAAGAAAAATAAAAGCAAAAACAAAAAGCCAGGAAACTTGCCCACCCTGTCCTTCCCACGTCTCACACGGCCTCACAGCCGAGCCCTGAATCAGGCGGAGGCACCGTCCGTGCCACCCCGGTCCCCAGGGCTCCCTGCTCCCGGCAGCCTGGACTCTGTCACCGGCGTGCGGCTCTGCGATCCCGGCGGCCCCGGGATGCGCCCGCTTCCCTGCCCCGACCCGGGCCGTCCCGTCCCGTCCTCCTCGCGCGGCGGGGCTGGCGCTTCGCGGCCACCGGAGCGGGCGGCAAGTCCAGGTGACACTGTCGCGCCCGCCGGCCAGGGCCAGGGGCCACCTTCCGGTGAGCACGCGACCGCGGCGGGGCTGCTCAGGTCCCCGCGGGCCGCGGAGCCCGGGTCCGGGTCCGGTCCCCGCCGCGGCGCAGCGCCCCCTCCAGGCCGCGCGCCGTGCGCTCCCGCGGGGAGCGCGCCGGGTCTCCGGCCGGGGGCGCGGGGCTTCGCCTGCCTCCGCCGCCGTCCCCGAGCGGGCGCCAGCCACGGCCCCGGGCGCTCCGGCACAGCACCCGCCCGCGGCGTCGCGAACCCGGCCCGGCCCGCGGGCCGCCCGGTGGTGCCTTGCGCGGCCTCCGTGCTCACCTGCAGCCGCCGAGGCGGGGCGCGGGCCCGCGGGCGCCCCTGGCCGTCCTCTCCGCGCCTGTGCCCGGGCAGCGCTGCGCGAGCCGCGGCCGCCCCCGAGTCCCATCCCGGGCTCCCCACGCGCAGCCCGAGGCTGAGGCGGGGGCGGGGGCGGGGCGGGGGCGGGGCCGCGGGGGAGGGACAGCGGGGAGGTACGGGGGGCGGGGGAGGGGCGGGGGAGGGACCGGGGGCCGGGGGCGGGGAGAGCGCGGCGCCCCCGCCGGCCCGACGCGGGGCGCTCGTCTACGGGCTCCGCGGACCCCGCTTCCCGGCACCGGTGACGGCGGGCTCAGGGGACCGGGAACGTGACGGGGTCCGGAGTCCTGAACTTGGGGATCACTTTCTAAAAGCAGGAGGCATCCACCCACCGAAGATGATGAAAGAAGCGGTGACAGCGGGGATACTTGGTGACAAGCTCCGGGAGCTGGCTCGGCAGCGCGGTGCCAGGTCGCCCCACTCAAGTGAGCAGAGGTCCGCTGGCCGAGGCCCAGACTCCGGGGTGGAGCTGGAGAGGAGACGGCTCCAGGAGCCGGGAGATCCGGTTCAGACGAGACCTGGAAAAGAGGCCGAGTCGACGAGGCCAGGCGAGGGCGGAAGGCTCACGGTGCAAGGCCCGCGGAGCCGTGGAAGGGCGCGGGAGTCCTTGGTTCCGGCCACCCGCTGGCCTGGTCCTGGCCGGCAGGGGTGGGGGGCTCCGAGCAGGCCAGCACGTCTCCTAAAGGACCTCCCAAATCCGGTCCCCAGACCCAGGGCACCCAGTTCAGGTTGCAACAGGCTGCAGGGAGGAGCTCAGAGCTAACAGCTTTCAAACTCTCCCTCTGTGGCAGACGCTGATTATACAAGTGCTTTAGGCTACCTGTGTTTCGTAACTGTCGCCACTCTTATTTGATGACAGAGCTGGCTCCTGGACTATGAATAAACGCTGTTTCCAAAAGCACTTCTTCGAAAAGACTCTGGGAGGGGTATTGAAAATCCCAGCCACAAAGCAAGAGTTCACAGGCTCCTGACACAAGGCAACTGGGTGGCACCATCCTGCCAGGAAAGAGTCCTGGGCTCAGGGACTCTCATTCCGTAGGACCACAGGGTGGGTCTTGCTGCTTGCAGATCAGTGTGTCTTTGGGAGGAGGAAGGTGGAGATCAGGAAAAATTTGGTCCTCTGAAGTCTTGGATCCTACAGAAGGAAATTCTTCCTGAGTGCAGGCCAGTAAAAAATCCCCTAGGAGCTGAGAAGTTGAGTTAGAAACTATGGAAACTTACATTTAAAATGGTATTGCTCTTCCAAAACGCCTCTCTGATCCAGTCATTTACCAGGAAAACAATAGCAACTTGGGAAATCCTTCCAAATTTTAAGGACATTGTGATTTAGTAACTGATTCTGGGGACTAAAATAGGTGTTTTTTCCTCTAGAGGATTTTATTAGAATTCTTCAGAATAAGAAAAGCCTGGATCATCTTTGAGGGTTGATCTTTGCTTGTGCCAAAAAAGTGAAGTGAAAGCAATTCAGTATCCTGAAATATGAAGTCAAAACAATTACTGAACTTCTGGTTACCTTGGGAGTGAAGGCAGATGGACGCAAGCTGCTTTATTAGAGTGTTGGAAAAGGGAAAATTTGCCTTTCCTGGCAGAGCAGAAGGGATATGGTGGTTAGGTTTTTGGTTCTCCTGGGGACATTCTTGCAGGAAGATGTGAATGGGGAAGGGTTGTGATATCTGAGCGATCAGAAGGTGGAGAGCTGGTAATTGTTTCATCACAGCTGGGCAGCTGTGCTGCAGATCAGCTCCAGGTCCTGTCTTCCCTTGGGGTCTACTGCAGTGAGGATTTGGGGTGAGGGTCATTTGACCCAGGCTTCATGTCCGCAAAGAGCCTCCCATGTGGATTTCAAGCACAAACATCCTGGTAAACATTAGACCTTTCTGTTTTGTGCTAGAATTCTTATTTGCAACCTACCTACATGATCTGCAGGGCTGATGGAAGTGAGACTCTAGAAACACAGAGAATCAGAGAATGAGGAAAGTAAAGAGCAGGAATGTTGGGCCACACACTGATAATCTAAGCAAATCTTGTGCCAAATACATGTGCAGAAATGAAAAGACACTGTGTCTCTGGAGGACGGGTAATGTTTGGGTCCCCTATAAATGACTGGAGTGCTTGCTGTGGCCCTCACTACTCATATGTTGGAACTGGGGATGTGGTTGGGGTTTGGGTAAGAAGGTGTTGTAGGCTAGTGGCTGGGTCTTCATTGCAGTCCAGGTTCAGGAGTCCTTCCAGAAGGACAGCACTCCCTGTTGGATGCTCATCAACATAGACAGTTGGTTCTATATCCAGAGTGTCCCCCAAGAAGCTACTGATGGTAAGGTTATCTTGCGTAAAATGGTTTATAATTAAATGTCTCACTCCATCTTTGGAAGACAGGAGGATAGGGATCAGGAAAAAACTGTGCAAGTCAAAAATTTGTTCCAGAAAAAAAAAATGCTTTTCTAAGAGAATTCAGCATTTTTGCTTGGTTTGTGGTACTAGGGATTGGACCCAGGAACATTCTGCCACTGAGCTACAGCTCTGCTTTTTTAAATTTATATTGAGGAAGAATCTTGCTAAGATGCCCAGGGTGGCTTCAAACTGGCTGTATGCATCAGCATTCCCACTGCTGAGACATAATATGTGATTATCTACAACTACAAGGAGAGCTTTAATGTGGCTCACGGTTTCAGAGGACTCAGTCCATGGTTAGCAGGCTCCAAGGCAGGGTGACATGACAGGGGGGAAACAGGTCACGCTGGTGGCAGATACCAAAAGACAAAAGCAAAAGGGTAGAAGCACATAGAAAAGACTCCCTCCCTTAGGTTGTATGTAGGCCACACCCACCCCGGGTGGATATGGCACACACACCCACAATCCCAGCATTGGATCATGGAGTTACAAATTCTAGAAGTCTGTCCCCATGACTGTATGGGGATTTGGGGGACATCCAGACTCAAACCATAACGAGTACCAAGGGTCACACCTCCATGAACCACATAGATACACTAAAAAGTATGCTGTATTAATGTGTTAGGTCTTAATCAGCTGGACATATCATGATTAATGGTCACACTTGAGGTCCTCCTTCCGCCTGAGTGACTGAGATTGCAGGTGTGCACCACCACAGTCAGCTTCATGTTTGTAGTGACCTTGCACATGAGGTCCTGAGGGCAGGGACTGGGCCTTTTGCCTGTTTATGGATTGTGTCCTATGCCCGGGTGAGAAGGATCTGGGCTGCTGTGGCTTTAACCTGGAGTTTAGAGCCTTATTCTTGCACAGTTGGATTGAGGCTGCTGTCAGGAGTGAGATGTTAAGTTGCAGTGAAGAATGTTTCAGCAAGAGTGGGCAGAAAGACGATTTGCTTTTTGGGTTACTGACAAGGCTGCATGCACCTGGGACGTGTTAAAGTATCGCTCAGCATATGGATTTCTGCCCCTGAAACCCCTCAATCTAGGAACCCGCACAAAGTATCTGCATTACAAGCCCATAGTCTCCTCCCTTTGACCAGCGACTACCTTCTCTCAAGGACATGAATGAGACCCGTCTGTGTTGCTCACCTGGTGTGAAATCAGGGTGCACAATCCTCACACAATGCCCATGTCAGCTGTCCTATAAAGGCCCCCAGCATGCTGGCAGAGCTCAACCAACGGAGACGCAAGAATCACATCAGAAGACTGGACTTTTCCACGTTCTCTCTTGCCAAAGAAAATTACTGAGACATAGTTATTAGCAGAGTCCCACAGAAAGGCAAACACCACAAGTGGTTAGTGGCAAGAATAATGTGACAGCCTATCAGAGTCACACATAAATCACAAGGAGGGAAAATAGGATGCAGTGCACTAAAGCAAACTGATTTCATTGGTAGAGAAGATTCTGGGAAGAAACAATAAAAATGTCTTAACTCATTTAGAGCAAGAATCAAATTAATTACCAAGGATGGAAAGTGCCAGAAAATCACTGGCTGTGTGCACACCGCCTGTGAACAATATGTATTTTTTCCAAAACAATGTTGAAAAGAGTCTGCAGTAACCAAAGTTATAGCCAGGTGTGATAGCACAAGTCTGTAATCCTAGCACTTGGGAAACTGAGGCAAGAGGATCATCATGAGTTTGATTACATAGTGATTTCAAGGTCTATCTGGAGTATATACTGAGACTGTATCAAACAAAGAAAATTCTTTTCAAATCCATTAACGTAGTGCATCATATTAATGAAAGACAAAAGCCACATGATCCTCTTCATAGGTGTCTGACAAAATTTGACACCTGGTCATACTAAAAACACTCAACCTAATAAAGGATATTACAAAAAGATCATGTTATACTTCATGGTGGGAGACTGAAACTTTCCCTCTACATATTCTAAATTACTTTTTTCTCTAGGTTTAAGAGCGAGATACTATCTCACCACCTCTAATCAACATTGCACTCAAAATTCTGCCCACTGTGTTAGCACAGTGTTAATCTCAGCACTTGAGAGGTTGAGGTAGGAGGATCACATGTTCAAGCCCAGCCTGGGCAATTTAAATGACTTAATAAAACCCCATCTCAAGATATAATAATGATAATAAGAATAATAGCAGCAGCTGTGGAGTGTAACTCAATTACAAAAGCCCTGGGTTCAATCCCCACTACCATAAAATCCTCTAGAATTTATCTTGGTAAATTTTTGGTTATGGAAAGCAGGCAAACACTTTATTTCCAGACATCTCCTCCTCCTTTGCACATCCTCCTCTAAACCCTTCCGGGAAGCGGGTCTCCTGGGACCGGGGCAGAAATGGCTCCTGGGTCACTTCTCAGGGTCTGCTCCTGTTCCTCATCGGCCTTTCTGAGTTTGTCCACTTTGTCTTTCCCTTCCTGCAGGAGGAGCTGCCTGGTGGTGGGAATTTCTGCACTAGTGTTGATGGTTCCTGCCACAGACTATGGAAAGACTGTTAAAGACCGTGCTTTTATCCTGCACAGTCTCACAGGGATTTCATTCATTTATTCCTGCACTACTGGGGGTCAAACCCAGCGACTTGGTACTAAGCTACCTCCTCAGCTCCTTTTATTATTTTGGGAAAGCCTCTTGATAAACTGTTAACTTGTCCA